CATTAGGTGACCAAGTTTATCTACGATTTATTATACAATATAATAAACAAATCTGTGCTTATCATTCCAAATTATACCTAAAACAGTGCAGTTGAGCCCCAAACGCCTGACCTAGTTGGCGCTCTGCCAGGATGTGGGCGAGCCAACAAAAGTCTCACAGTAGAATTACACATAGGGCTTCATGTAGCCACGCTCTCTGTTTTAATGTCAACCACACAAGAATTACTTCCCAATTAACAAATGATATTTTTTAAAGTTCTTTTCCCGGGATTATTGGCACTGATAGTGGAGTAATTGACACCGATAGTGGAGTAATTGACACCGATAGTGGAGTAATTGACACCGATAGTGGAGTTATTGACACCGATAGTGGAGTTATTGACCGATGATGGAATTGTTGACACCGATGGTGGAGTTATTGACACCGATAGTGGAGTTGTTGACACCGATGATGGAATTGTTGACACCGATGGTGGAGTTATTGACACAAAGTCAATAATTACCGTTATTGGCACCGATACAGGAGTTTAAACCATACAAAAATTCCGGCAATACTTCACTTGATGGCCGCAGCTGCGTAAAACAGACTATGTGCTACAAATCAAAGCACATAAGCGCCCCAAGTCCGGTTGTGTAACAGGCCTTTGAAGCAGAGGGAAAATGTGTGGTGAAATACCCCAAAGAACACCAAACAAACCTTTGAAAAACCTTACCTAACCTTTCCTAACCCATAAAAAAGGTAAAAATCGCTTTCGAGTTCAGAGACCCCCCCTCCCCCCCACCCTCCTCTTCTCAACACCGAAAATAATAGTAGGGCAAGTGCTTTATAGTTTTAGGATTTTTATAGGTTAGGTAAGATTTTTAAGGGTTTGTTTCTTCAAAATATTAAAATGGCTGGAAATAAACTACGGGTATAAAATGAAGTATTCCCAAAAATCCATACTGAACATGAATTCCGAACCATCATTTAAACGGCTTCAAAGATTCAATTATAGACAATAACCTCAAAGATTCATAACATGAGACTGAACAAGATTCATCGCCAACTACTCAACAGCCACTCCAAATTATATACACTGGACATTTACAGTACACAGTGTGATGTCCCTCCTTGCTACCCATAACATTGAGGAAAGGCAAAGTTCACAAGCAAAAATACAGAGTGAATAATCAAGGGGTTGAAATACGTGGATGCATCATGTAAGGAGCACACACACAAGAATCACTGTTTGTGGCAGACAATTTTAAGTTATGAAAGGGATAAGAAGATTATCATGTAAACTGAGTAATTTCAAAACATTTATATTAAGTATTATGTTAGTTAATTAGGTACATTCACTAATAGAAGTAAACCAAATATGCAATTATCAAAAAAGTAACAACTATGCATTTGTCAAAACACACAAGAATATTACCCATTTATTCTTACATTATACATTAAATACACATACTATACACAATAACACAAAAACCTGGTGGAAATGGCAGCTCAGGTAACAAGTCCAGGTTGCGATGGTCAGCCACAAGGAACCAAGGATTAACGCCGCAGTCCACTACCATCAAACCATCACAACACCACCACTGTAGGCCGCAGAAAAAGAGACTCGGCCTACCAGGCAGATACACTTGCCTCGATACCTCAGTCTCATAGTCAGATGGGAAACTGGTTCTGAAACGGTGCTCACTGGGGTCGAGTAGCTTCGTGAAGCTACCAAACAGGAAGGTACTACCGCCTGGGAAGCTATTGGAAGCATAATGTGTTTTCTTATGGTAGACCCTGCTGCTATATGGCATCACGAAGATTGTGACCATGTCCCAGGTTGCTGATCTGACTTTCTGCCTCATTTACACACAATTGCAGGGTTTCAATTTTTGTTTCTCTTACTTCGACATGACAAATAATAAAATAATACTCACAACGTTGCCTTTAGTGTTGGCTAGTTAAATACTAGTCAGTAGCTAAGGGGAGTAAAACATAAATACATAGAGCTAACTGACCCTACAAGCGCTTTGGGGAAACTGCTAAACAAATCATAATAATTATAACACAAATTAACATAAAAATAATTATCCTTATCATTTATCTACAGGTACAATACTACCACTCCCACAAATTAAGTAAAAGTACACTATTAATACATGATGTCCTACTACTTACAAGTAAAATTATCACTAAGCGATAAATAGGACACTACTAAAACATCCTTTTGACCTTTGTACTTTACAGTCGACCATAGGTAAATGGTATACTGACAACACCATTATGTACAAGATGGATCAAATTACTGTATCTGGTAAAACACAACAAAGAACTCCCAGAACTTCAAAATGACTTTTTTGTGGGGACTGTATCGTGACGATCCAGATACATGTAGTATACAATTTCCAATGTACATTACAGTACCATACAATAGTGTTACGAGTATAAGCATTTCCTTAATGTTTTGTGAATTTGTTAGTAGTTAGTGGGTTAGGCCTGTTGTGTGGATTTTGGATGTGTACTATAAAGAGAATGCTCGGTTGAGTTTAGGAAATGAACTGTGCCTGCTGTGGAGCGGAGAGCCTTGCAATGGACGGAATCATTCAAATTCAAATTTGCTGAGTCAGTGTTGCAGGGGCGGATCCAGATATACCAAAAGGACTGAACTAGCACGTATATTTTAGTCATTATGAATATTATTACTGTACAGCAAAAAAGAAACATTCACTGCCCTCCAATTTCATATTTTAATTTAACTAAACCCTTTTATAAAACATATACACAAAATATGGCTGTTCTCAGCTTGCATGGACAGTCGGTTAGGTGCCATATGGGAGACTCAGATTTTGTATATTAATATCTGCAATTGAAAAACTAAGCAAATGACTTATTGACATACTCACATACCTGCCAATAGGCCATCCACTCTTGTAGCTCATTGGTGAGGGAAGAAGGAACTGGAAGATCTGCCTCCCAAAACTTCATCTTCAGAACAAGTGTCTTCAACTTGAAAACAATTCATACTTTTAACTGGCAGCAGGGAAAATATTGCTTGGCTCGGATGAATGTCTTAGTTTTGAATCTCGTTTTTATCTCAGAGATAGTGTAATTAATGAAAGGGACTGCAACATTCCTTTTGAAGTGTTCCTGCGTGGAACTTGCTGCAGCATTAGCCATGTGATCCTTGGAATCTCAATTGCACATCCAACATCATCTGCCATTTTCTCACAGGCTGTGTACCATAAAGTAAACTCTGTGTCGAAATTGGACCTTATTTCTTGAAGCCTTGCAGTTGCACTTTGAATCAGTAGATAAGCTTGGTAAATGTCCTGATCTCGTTTTGGCAGTTTAGTGGGTCAGTGTCTGTAGCAAAGGATAGTCTTGTCCCTGTAAGTATCCTACGAGATACTGGTGCATCACACAGTATTGTGGGGAAAAGTTCAATCCTATTTGTGAAGGAGACTTGTACAGGAGAACATGTGTTGCAGGGAGTTAACGGGAGCATTGTTGTTCCGTTGTGTAGACTACAGGTATACTTTAAGACAGACCTCGTATCTCGACCAGTAACTGTGGGTGTTAAAAGAGTCATTGCCAATTGACAGTGTGACCTTATTGAAAAATGATATTGCTGGAGACCTTGTAGTCCGAAATTGAATACTGTAGTAGGTGTTGATTGCTAGCCTCAAGCAGGCATCCAGTTGGTCATCTGACAAATCTGATCAGTACAGTATTTGGATTTGACGTTTTTCATGTGTGAGAATGTTGACTTACAAAGGTAGATGATCCAGATAATGCTGCCAATACCTAGCAACTTTTCCCACATTTGGTTATTTTTCTTTGATGAGTAGGTTCCAAAAGCTTTACCCTGAAGCCCTGGATTTTATTTGAATATTGTTTTGCCAAGTCAAAATTTTCTTTTCGACTTTCGTTATGTTCATCAGAAATAACGATGCCTCTAAAATTGATTCACAACCCTGAGATTTCTGCAAGTACTGAACTATACAGTATACACAACTCACACGAATTGAAGCATTGCTACCCTTGATTTCAAGCTGGATCCTGTATAGATGGACTGTGAAGCAGTACGTTGAGACTGACATCTTGCCACCCCTGTTCTAGAGGGCATATTGTTCTGGAAAGACATTTTTCTTGGGAAATATTGTTCTGAAAGGGATACAGTATTGTTTTGAAGAGGATATTGTTCTGAAAGGGTCATATGTGCGAGCTCTTTCAAGACAAGACTTGACCAACACTGGAGCGGGTTCAGGTACATTCAGGAGCCGGTGCATGCCCAGTATTTGCCAACAGTGCGTGACAGAGACGTGACCGATCGCCCGGGTGGCTAGCGAGCCGATCTTTTGGTGAAGAGGATAAATGAAAAGGAAAAGTAATCAGAGACGTGACTGATCGCCCAAGCGGCTAACGAGCAGATCAGTGGCGAAGAGGGGAAAAAAAAAAATTTCTAGTTGATATATTGATCTGGGGGATATTATTCATGAGGATATTGTATTGGGGTTATATTGTTTTAGGCCTCTAGGGAATAATGTTCGAGAGGGTATATTGATCTGTTTTATTGGGTATATTGTTGCTGGGGATATATTGCTTTCCATGGGATATTATTCTGAAGGATATAGGATATAGTTCTAGTGGATTCTATGTTCTTGTGAGTACAGTATATTGTTCTGGGGGCATTGGTCAGTAGGCAATATGGTTCTTGAGAGAATAATTTCATTTAAACAGTATATTTTTCTTAGGGAACTATACTGTGCTGCATCACTCAGGTGTGTTGCATTGTCTTAGTGGATACATTACTCGACTCCTATCCTAGAGGCAGCAGTAAAAAGGTATCTAATTTCGAAGCTGGCCAATCATGCTGCCTCCTTGTGTATAAGGCTTTGTGTACAAAGTGTTGTATCAGTTCTTGCTCAAATGGTTTGTCAGTCCTAAGGGACCTTACCACATGCCTGTTTTTTTCTCAACGACTGCATGCTCTTTTTCTTTAAGGTGACATCAAATAACATTCTAGTACTAAACTTTATTGTAAGTGTTGACAAATTCCTTATTTGATATATCTATATTTGTCTAACAATAAAGTTGATTGTATTAGTATATACTATTTATTGAATGATAAATTATAGCTTACTCAGACTTGAAGTAGAACTAAGCATTTTTCATAACAATATACAGGGTACAAGCATGCTACTTTAAAAAATTAATTATGAATTCACATTTCAAATCAAAATCAGCTCTAAATTATTATTTTGTAAATATTGAGACAAATTAAAATATAGTAGAAGACTTTGTTTGTCTGGTTTTATAACGTTGCAATATGTATATTAAGAATCTTAATGTAGGAAAATTCAAACATCTTGAACATATGAAGAATGAAGATGATGCAGATGTTTTATATAAGGGTGCACCACCTATGGTTGGTTCTGAGTAGGACACACTTCACCTCATAGAAATGAATAGGGATTGCTTATGGAATCAGGATCATTTGCCTGCACTTTTTCTACCACTCCATTTTTTTTTTATTTAACAATATAACTTCACTAAATTGAAACTGAGGTTACAGTATTACTGTGAAGAAATATCCACTTAGAGTCTTATATGAAAAAAGATACAATACAGGTAGGTATTTCTGTAGTTTAAAAGATATTAATACAGTTTTCTAGAATATGACCTATTATGCTGGTCGTCATTGAAATACTTGTTCACTAACACCTAAAACACATATCTCAATGGAGCCTAAGTACACAGAATTACCTTATATGACATTTAAAGATTAGCATCAAACATGTTGAGGGCCACACCAAGGGTCTTCATCTTCTTCAGAGTAACAACATGACCAGCCATTTTACGGGTGTACTCAGCCTCGGCCTTTAATTTGTTATCCAGGAAGTGGCCAATCTGATAATAAAAATATACTGTGGTTAAACAATACAGGTACACCACCGATTTTCCAGCACCCGTGGTTCTAAAGCATTGCCGCCCAAGCGGCTAACGAGCCGATCAGTGGTAAAGAGGATAAAAGTAATGTGCACACTTTGTATTCAAATGTACTACATTAAAGGACTAAAATTTTTATCTCTTGTGCAAACTATGTGATGCTTATACAGCTCCTCCCCGACTTACGACCTACTCGACTTACAACCACCAGCACTTACGACCTGCCTCAGTCATACCAAAATTTGGTAAAATTACGTATTTTCGAGTCCCAAAGTCGGTAAACAGACAAAATTTTCATTTGTAATTCACTTTAAAATGGCTGGCAAGCTTAAAAGTGAGTGTTTTGTGGTGCTGAGAAGAAAAAGAGACACCCATTTTCGATTTTCTATGTATTATTTAAGCATTTCCGACCTACGACCATTTCGACTTACGACCTGGATTTGGGTCCCTAACCCCGTCATAAATCGGGGAGGAGCTGTACTCAAATTAATCACAATCTTACAAGGATTCCAGCAATGCAAGTTATATTCTGCTAAATTTGGTCTGTGACATTTTATAAGATAAAAACTTTAAGCCTAAAACTACCTTCACCCTGGCTGGGAAGACAGGTTGAGTGTTGACACAGCCAGGCAGAGGTTACCAAGTGTGTATTTATCAGTTAATTAGAGGGACTTGAAATTTTTCGCTTATAAAATGTCACTGAATTGATTTGGCAGAATATAACTTACATGGCTGGAATTCTTGTAAGATAATGATTAATTTTAATACAGCATGCCCTTCAAATTCGCGGGGGTTAGGCCAAAATGGCCGCGAATCGCCAAATCTGCAAATAACATTTGCTGACCGGGCGGGAGGGGGTTACATTTTTACTTGTGTACAAAAAATGTATATTTCCCCCCCTCCCCCCCTTTTTTTTACAGGCACTAGCCCACCCGGGCACAGGTCATTTTTAATGACACACATCAAGGCCACATCTCAGAGATATACAGTATACAAAATCTTGAAAGAAAAGGAAAACATGAACTTTGGCCATTCCTTTATGTCATGCACCGTCAGCATGAGGAGATATAACTTCAGTCACCAAGTTATCATGCAGGAAGAATAATTTTTTTGTACAGTACTTCTTCACACAGAGGGCGGTAGACCTATGGAACACTTTATCAGCTCAAGCTGTGGAATTGAAAACAGTGCTATTGTGGGTAGCCAATGGGTAAATAGTTATTACCATACAACATGTGCATTTTTATGGTGTGGAATGTGAGAAAAGGAAACCCTCCCATTGATGGAATTCTACCAATTACGGACAGGGATCGCAAGAATTAGTCTACTATCGGGAGGATTTACTGTATTGTGAGAAGAAGGTAAATCAGGCAAATAAATTATTGGGTCTTATAAAAAGGTCATTCAGATATCTTCAGGAGTGAAGTGCTTCCCCATCTGGTCCCCGAGATATGCTAGGCACTGTCAGTTGGTTGAAAATGTTCAAAGGAGGGCCACCAGATTGGTGCCTGCACTTCGGCACCTTAGCTACCCTGAGAGATTGGAGCACCTGAACTTGCCTAGCTTATACTACAGACAGGCAAGGGGGGACCTAGTTGAGGTGTATAAGCATCTCAGGGGGCACTACTCATTTGAGTGTCCTTACTTGGAGCTGGCGGACGCTCGCCCCACAAGGGGTCACAGATCAAGACTGAAGAAGCCTTAAGTCCAGAAAACTGTGAGGGCAAACTTTTTCGGAGTGAGGGTTGTAAACTCTTGGAACAATCTACCAGAGAGTGTTGTGACGGCACCGAGTGTGAGCTCTTTCAAGACAAGACTTGACCAACACTGGAGCGGGTTCAGGTACATTCAGGAGCCGTGCATGCCCAGTATTTGCTAACAGTGCGTGACAGAGACGTGACCGATCGCCCGGGTGGCTAGCGAGTCGATCTTTTGGTGAAGAAGATAAATGAAAAGAGACGTGACCGATTGCCCAAGCGGCTAACAAGCCGATCAGTGGCGAAGAGGATAAAAGTAAAGCAAAAAGAGATGAATATAAGTACTGTACTGGACAGTACTATTATCAAACTAAAAAAAAAAATGTACAAACTGAAACACAGAAAATTATGGACATACTAGACAAAACAATGCAAGGAAGTGATCTAAATAATGCTTGCTAGTCGTGCCAGGCTGAATATGACACCACAGTACAGTAGTCACTGTACATTATTAAATATAATTCTACATAAATATACAGTATTTCCAAACGGACAGTAGTTTATTTTTGTCAACAAAATTACACAGTTTGCACCAAAATTTACCACAATAATTCATTAAGTAAACACAGCACACAAGTGGAAACACGAAAAAATGAATTTGAAATAACTACTGTAGTGTCATCTGGTGTTATTTATATTTTGGCTTCATGCTTCTGAGGAAGCATAAGCCTGAAACATGCTTTGCTCTTACCTCAGGATCTCCATGCCTCCACTTGCTTGCTACATGATGCATTTTGTTCATCTTGTGAGACCGTGAAATGGAGTCGATCACAATATCTTTAAGTGTGTTCACATATTTGTCTGCAATGACCTCAGTGTTGTCTAAGGTTAATTCACCCTGAAAATAAGGAAATTTTTTCAGAACATTATCTTTCGAAACAAAATTGGCATCTACATTGATGATATAATGAGTTAATCATTATGTTATGACTCTAAGGAGCTTTATTATACAAAAATAAATACCTCCTGTATGTGGGAAACATAACATATTACAGTTGAGAAATGTTACAGTCAAACATTCAAAATTCAAATGGCCCAAATTCAAAGTCTCCATAAATTATACAAAATTCCCACCATGTGCTTTTCAATTTTTTTTTTTTTTGGAGCAACATAAAAAATATTAAATAAAAACAAGAATATTATCAGTAAATTATGAGGAAAAATTACATACAGAAGGTCCCCAACTTATGAACATCCGACTTACAAATGCCCACCGATATGAATGAGGTTAATCATTAAATTTACAGAAGGTCCTCGTTATAAAAGTACAGTGGTCCCTCGGTTAACGAGCACAATTCGTTCCAGAAGGTTGCTCGTTAACCGAAAAATTTGTTAACCGAAACCATCGTTTCAATGGGTTTTTGGGTAATTGGTCCCAGCTCACCGAAAATTACACACAAACAAAAAATAAATGCAGTAAAGTACACTTACTTTGAGGTGTGCATGTAGAAGGCTCCTGGATGATGATGATGGGAATTAGAATGGAAGTGGAGGAGAAGGGAGAAGAGAAGGCATTGGGGTGGAAGAGAAGTCACCCCATGGCGCCATTTCACCCATAAAATTTTGCTTCACTTTGTGTAATTCAAGATTATTTTCTTTAAATCAACACTGCACTGTACTATACTGTATATCATCAATATGTAAAATAAATTTCAAAATGACCAATAATTTGATTGGAAACACAGAAAAAAAGGGTTTATGTTGAAGAGAGTTTGAAGCAAGATGTTACCTTCACTGAAAAGACAGAGACTGAGACTGACACCTGTATGGTGTGTTGACAGGCTGTTTGGCGGGCTAAAAACTAGTTTCCCTGTACTTAAATTATGTTAAATAATTGTTAAAATGACTAAAAATTTTAGTATAAGACTTTTAAAATTATTGAATAGTACAAACTTCTTGATATTTACTAAAATAGTAAGGAATTTAAGCCCTAGAACCGATTACTGTATTGGCGGACTAATACGACAGCAAGTGTGCAAGCGAAAACATGTTGAGGGGCGCTCGTAAGGAATTCATTAATCGAGGGAATGCTCGTTAACCGAAGTTAAGAATCTTATGGAAGGTAATTCATTAACCGAAATTTTGTTAACCAAGTCGCTCCTTAACCGAGGGATCACTGTATTGTATTCTCTATCCACGGTTTCGCAGTCAAGTGGTCAACTTTTTGTGACCATCCACATAAAAAAAGGCTCCGCATTTAAGTGGATTCCACTCAAAAACTCTGAAAACTCCTGTATATAATCTACGGATTTTTAGCTTAAGTGACTAGAAATTTCACCCTCTTCCTGGCATCATGCATGCCACACGTCTCCGCACCAATCTCCCACTTTGTTTCGTCCAGACCAGTGCTGTGTTTTGTTTACTCCTGCCTTTGTTGTGTCTTTTCATGCATGTTGTGGTGAATTATTTTATTAATTTTTGAAGCCATGAGATCTCAACCCAAACAGGGTGGTGCAGCGCTCAAAAGGAAGCACACAAGCTTTAGTATAAATGTAAAATTAGAAGTATTAGGCAAAAGAAGAGTGGGAATGGACAATCCACCAAGTCCTGTTTCTTTTTCATCCTCCAATTAATCCTCCTCTCCCAACACCCACCTTCATCAATCCAATTAAATCAAACATCTCTACCTCTTAAGCTAAGTAAATGAAAATATTTTATTATGTTTACATTATTTATTTTTAAAACATTATAATATGTATTCTGTTTCAATGAACCACTGCAGTGAGTGTGCACCAGCTGGCACAACCTACGTTGCCTCAACACACCGACCCCAATGAACTTTAAGGACGTTAAATAAATTATAAAGCTAAATACTCCCCTGCCACCCAACACACCCTGGTCGCCGTCACCGGGCTAGAACAAACTGATGACATCCGTGTCAAGTTTATTTGGATCCCGTCACACATAGGAATAACTGCCTGTGACACTGTTGATCGGCTTGCCAAAGAAGCAACACAAGAAGAAGATATTGAAACTACCCTCGCCCTCTCCCTGAATCATTTCAAATCTCGCATACAAGCTGCGCAACGCAAAGCATTCAACAAAAATTGGACACAACTGACACAACGGGGTAGCGTCACACTACTGTACGCCATTATGACGCTGTAACCGGTGACGACAACCGCCACTACAAAGAGTATCAATCCCTGACTCGATCTCAACACATTATGTACATGAGACTGCACTTAGGGTACAGGTACCTATGGGAGTATATTGGCAACCCTGAGCCTGGCCGCACTGTTTGTAAACTTTGTGGCCAACTGACTCTCACACCCTCTCTCACTACATCCTCACTTGCCCTATGACCTCCTCCTACAGGTCCCCAGCCGTTACCAACACCTCTTCCCTCCCTGACCAGATATCCCTCCTCCGAGTGACAGGCCTGGCACTTGACATTATTAGGGACCTGCCACGCTTTGCCATAAACAGATGAAATGTACCGGGAACTTTTCCCCCCACACACTCATCATTCTGTCACTTTATTTAACTTGCTGACAAAACCTATGACTCTTCAGGCTTTTACGCCCTTAATGCATGAGTCATAAAGGCAAGCATGAACTTAGCATGCTTCCCAGTTGGGCACTGTAAATGCTTCTGTGCTTCACCTTGCACAGGATGTAAGGGGGTGCCCAATAAACTAGCCCCCTCCGGGGCAATTTAAAAAATAAAAAATAAAGCTAAATAATTTCTTAAAACGATGTGTTATCAAATGTTTAACAAACATTTCTCAGGTAAATACAGTAATTTGTTAAAAGATATCATATAAAAATACTTAAGTGTCGTGTACAATGTCATGATCCCAATTTGACCCATTTCCATTGTTTCTTATGGGATTAATTCCCCGCTTTAAGTGGATTCGTTATCAGAAGCGTTTTTCCGGTTTCAATTATTTACCTGATGGCTTATTTTTTACTTTCATTTACTGTACATATTTTATCATTCAATTTTTACCTTTCTCTTAAATTCAGTGATTTTAGATGTATATAAGGACTATGTTATACAGTAGTGGGATTTTAAACAATGTTCTGTAAGTTCAGTATGCACATAGCATGTGTTCAGACTTACGTACATTTCCAACTAACGAACGTCCTTAGGAATGAAACCCGTTCATAACCCAGGGATCCCCTGTGTGTGCACACACACACACACTTACGAACCTTTCCAGTGAAAGACAAAACAAAATTCTCATCAAGTGTGCCACCACGCTGGAGGTATTTCTTGAGGAAGTCTAGGCCCTCCTCCCACTGGTTATCACTAGCATCCATCAATAACTTAGCCATGCCAGGGCGCTCCACAAACTGGCTTCCATACTGCTTGCTCTGAAAGCATATGACAAAATTTAAGAATTTACACTGCACTGTATAGAAAAGCTAAAGACATTGTTAAAACTTAAGTGCTGCAAATGACAATAAAATATATATAGTGAAGTGCAAAATAAATTAAACTAGCATTGACCCATATACTGTACTCTGGTGATCAGGGGTTATAAATAAGAGCTAGAATTCTTGCACATGAAGTAAACCAAGTACAGTAGTATCTATATTATAAGCATTTTGAATAATTGTACTGCACATGTTTCATATGCTTTTAGCCAACATGATTTTATCTCCAAGAAATTTTTTGTTTTGCCAACTCCACCTATATGTTCCACAGGCTGTCCAGTGAAAACCCCACCCTTCATTTCTTTGTGATGCAAGGCGTGAGTCCATGATGATACAGAAGGAATTCCCTTGAGCTTAAAGGCAGCTTGAGTATGGGGTACTGTACTTTGTCTACACTTTTCTCTTGGTTTCTTATTATTTAGGCTCACACCAACCTACATCGCCAAAATACCTAACCCCACCATGGTTTGCATACTATACAGTAGCCAGTATATGATGCCACACAGGTAAGCTCCATTATGTCACTGAGGATAAGGCATTCCCCAGAATTGTATAAATGCTGCTGTTTATCAATATTTTGGTGCTGTTATTCATCCTTATACTGTATATATACTGTATACTGTACAAGGGTTTACATACTGGAGTGTTCGTAACTGCAGAAGCAATGTTATCTTACAACCATACCTCATATATTATGTGAGACAACACTTGGATTATGTGGTTGCTTTGGCCACGACAGACTGCATATTGATTTCATGGAAACGTTTCAGAAAAGGATGACACAGTTAATCCTAGCTATTAAGAACTTTTTAGTACTGTATACTTTAGAGACAGATTAAGGAAACTGAACTGGCATTATCATGAGAGATGCTGAGTGAGGGGCAATATGATCCTTATGTATAAATGGAAGATATAGTTAAATACAGTATAGGTGATATAACTAAGTTGCTTAAACTATGAGATTGGGAGCAAACAAATAATGGTGGTTTTAAATTAGAGAAATTTAATCTTAGGGAAGAATTACCCCAGATGAATTTATTCAGCTGGGAGGCATCAAATATAGGTTGAACAGATATTTAGTTAATAAGGGTTGGGTGTAAACAGGGCTGTCTAGTACAGACCAATAGGCTGACTGCAGTTTTGTTCATTCTTCTGTTCTTTCAGCTCAACTTACATAGACTATCCATTAAATAAATCAGCAGTTTGAAATCAGACAAGATGCATAGCATTTAAAAATCTTAAGACTAAATTGAAATTCAACTATTTCAGGAATGGATGAGGAGATCTCTCCAATAGTGCATACCTCCCCAACAGGAGTCTACAACATTACCATATGAACCATGGTTAACAGGACATGCTGAGGATATCTTACAAAAACAATATGTATTGGGCAGAAGAAAATATTAAATAAAACTCAAGTCCGTACCATATTACATATTTTGAGAGAGGGTACTGGGTAGAGAAGTACAACATCTCAATTTATATACAGTACTCTACTGTGCATAATTTGCTGTGTGCAACATCTGGTTTTTATCATTTGTTAATTATTGATTACGACTCAGTCCCAATTGTTTAATGTAAAATTCTGTTCATTACTAATACTGTGAAACCTCTACCAAACTACAGTATATGGAGAGGAAAGTCCATTAGATGTGAAACGTCTTTGTAACAAACTATATCAAGATGAAAGTCTGTTCTGTCGTGAGTCCTTTAAAATGTGAAACCCCCATCTAATGGATTATATGGAGAGAGAAGTCCAATATTTTGGAGGTTTCACTGAACTTTCAACTACTGTACTGTAAAGAAAATGCATAATTAAAATTATAATTGTACTGAGGGATCTCCTTGGGGGTACACTGTACAACACTGTTACAGTACTGTATAGATATTTTATTGATCTGTACAACATTTTGTGAGAGCATGCACGGAAAGTGTTAAGGAGGGCAAACCAGAATCATAAGGACTTGACTGTAGAGGTATCTTCAGGTATAGAGAATTCATTAAAGTAAATTTACATGTAAACGTTTTTAGTAGACTATACTAAGGCAAAATTACACATAATCAATAGAACACACAGGAGCAATTTTAATATGTTCTTCTGAAGAACAGAACAGACCAAGCTTAACTCACAGTGTACAGGTACTTGAGAGAGTCGTCAAAGTGTTTCTTCATGAGATCCATTACTAACAAGGTATTATTGCTGTTACTGAGGAATGGGGATATGATAACTGGATTTAGATCGATGGTGCTGTCTCCATAAGCCTGGACCACAGCATATGCCACCAGAATGGCACACACATTGAGACATAACACACGCATCTGTAAAGGATAACACAATAAATCAAGCAATATTGTACTTTTAATGTCCAGTGACAACATGTCTGTCTCTAAGTAACAGCTATTCAGGGAATGTTTATGGCACCATATTAACTCTCACTGATGTCCATTGACAATGAAGACATCCTTAACCCTCCAAAAATCAAATTACAGTACAGGTACTGTACTTGTATTTTTTTTGTCTTGTGAAATTTTTACAAAATTAATTTATGCACGATGTCCCTGCCATGCCCGAAGTACCAACCTTCACTTCTCACCTCCTACCATATTCATCACCCTTCACTGTTCTGCCCTACCCTGCTCCATCATTACTCAGCTACTGCCTGGTCCATCACTCTTCATTGCTCACCTCCAACCCAGCCCATCATGCCCTGCCAACCACCCCTCGCTGACTGCTTCATGACCTACTAACCACTGCCCTGTCCACTATTCCTCACTGCCCTCCTCACTATTGTATCTACCTCCTGCCCTCCTCACTGTCAGCCTCCTAACCCCCCTCCCTCCACTGAGGCATGCATGAACTCTGCATACTTCCTTGTTGGGCGCTGTAAATGGTTTTGCGCTTCGCCTTGCACAGGATGCAAGAAGGTACCCAATAAACTAGCCCCTCACTGGGCATATCTGAATCACTGCTCTGCTCCTCTTCTGTCTCATTTTGCCATAAGAGACCAACTGCCCAAAAGACTATATATATATATATATATATATATATATATATATATATATATATATATATATATATATATATATATATATATATATATATATATACATTTTCAGTCCATATAACATGCGGACTTTGAACATATAATCAACAACCTCACCAGCCAGGACTCGAACCCACAACCTACTGTGTGGAACCAGGGAATGTTACCAACCATGCCACAAGGACACTAAAAGGCAAGCAGTTCTAGACTTTGTTATATTTCACACAAAACCTGTTCATCGAGCTGATGGCGCCGTGAACCTCCCACTGAGAACTGCCCGTGCTGCTTATGTGGATGTCAGTAGCATTTTACCGAACCCAGCTGGTATGAAACCCGAGGTACCATATATACTTCATTTTTAGTCCATATAACACGCGTACTTTGAACATGTAATCAACAACCTCACCAGCCAGGACACGAACCCTTGACCTACTGTGTGGAACCAGGAAACATTACCGACCATGCCACAAGGACACTAAAAGCAGTTCTAGACTGTATATATAAAGTTAAGGAAGACTACTAGCTACACTATAACTGAGTATCAATTTCCCATGAATGAGAAAATGTATAATATCTTCTTTTGTCATAAGCTTGAATGAAGTGAATACTGTACCCACCTTCTTAGTTTTGTTTGGATGTAACTAGTACCAATGTACTACACATCCACAACGGTAACGTGAGCTGTTCAGAACTGTCACCACAAAGCTTTCGTTATGGACTGACCCGTCCTATCACTTCAGCTGATAGTGGTTTAGCCACATTATGCGATAAGCAGTAGCCCAGGGACAAAGTTCCCTAAGCATTAACCATGCAGAACTATTGTACAGTATAAATGGATGTGAAAAAGTTTGCTGATACATCAAATCTTGTACTATGCTTTGGTCCACAAGAAGGCAGAGGGGCCAGCATTGCACTTGGTTCCTTTACTCCCCCATTTGTAATTTTAAGTACAGGGTATCCATTCAGAGGGGAGCACGAATCAGCAACACTTAGGTCCAATAGAAGTAGAAGCATGCAGGGCCAGACCACGGCGCCAAATTGTTGGCCTTGATACATATTTTATCGTTGCCAACTTGACTATGTTCGGAATTTAATTTAAAGGGGAGGGGCCAATAAGGGATGATTGGCACAGGGTGCCATCAGAGGCTAGTTTAATTAGCCAGAAAAACACAGATACAGGGTGGATAATAATAACAATATTAACATGGCTGAGCCAGTTGAGAACCTGAGCTCTTTATATTTTTCTTAAGCTGCTGCAATCGAAGTTAATTTGTAATTTTATCTGATTTGTCCCAAGTTCAAATTGCTCACAATTACAACTTCAGAAACACAATTAATAAATATGCCAGCCATCGACACCCATATGCAGGCGCATACAGACTGTACTACACACTGATCTCAGTAAGTCCAGTTCTTACACTCACATACATCCATTACCTGCAAACATAAACACATTACTCGCAAGTGACGAGTATAGTTTACATGAACCCGAGTATATCACAGCATGTCAGATCATGCATTTGGTCTATGTGTTTATGATCGACATTATCCTTAAAAAAGGTGATGTCACCACCAACAATTTCCTAAATTGAAAATGTTAAAATTCGAAGATATTAACGCCTACTGCAGTGCCCTCTTTGTTTACAAATCTATCAATCACTTGCTTGACAATAATTATTTCCAGTTCCGGAATAATCAGAGATACAACTTAGGCACCCAGAGCTACTAAGACCACCCCACCATGCGTTCCTCTCAGTCCTAGACCTCCATAAAATATCATGGTGTGAAGGTATGGAACAACTTACCCCCACCCGTCAGAGCAAAGACTACGCTCCCTTCCTTTAAATTAAATCATCTCTAAAAAAATATCTATTGTCTAAGTATTAATATTCCATGTAATACCTACTATATTTACAGTACCTGTTTTTATTGTACCATCAAAACCGTTTTATCGGAAATTATCATGTATAAATAGATAAGAAATTACCATTGCAATAAACATGGTGATAACCGTGGTAACATTTTGAGATGTTCTTATTACCACCATGCTATTGTACTATTCCAGATGTTACTAAATGTTACATAATACTTCCTTGAGATAAATGTATAGTATATATCAGGTGCCTAAAAGAGAGTTCAGGTTCTCAATTGGCTCTGCCATGTAAATAGTGTTATTATTATTCACTCTATATCTGTTTTTCTGGCTAAATAAACTGTTTCAATCCAATCCAATTCAATTCATAATTGCCAACTAGACATAATCCTGACAGCTCTGTCCTCTTGTTCAACCTTAATACTGTACAACCCATGTTGTACTGCTCCCCCATTATACTCATGTTTTTAAATTCCACTGTAATTTATGTATATGCTTATACAGTAATATAAATATAATATATATACTAATAAAAATAATAAATAAATAAAATACATAAATATTGAAGTGATAGCCGTGGTAACATTATGAGATGTTCTTGTTACCACCATGCTATTGTACTTTTCCAGATGTTACGAAATGTTACATAATACTTCCTTGAGATAAATGTATAGTATATATCAGGTGCCTAAAAGAGAGCTCAGGTTCTCAACTGGCTCAACCATGTTAATATTGTTGTTATTATTATCCACTCTGTATCTGTGTTTTTCTGGCGAAATAAACTGTTTCAATTCAATTCAACAATGCGTAAAAGACGTAATCAATCGCCCAAGTGGCTAACACGCCGACAAGTGGAGAAAATTATTAAATTAATGTCAGATTATTTATAATAAAAAAAAAGATTGACAGACTTTCAGTGAGATCGCCATAAAAGTTCTACTACGCTAAAAAGGTTTAGCATGTATATAGTATTGTGCAGGTTTACGAATAATGGTAAACAGGCATATGATTCAACCAAGAAGAGGTCAAGAAACCACTGAATGCTTATTGGCATAGGTGTACATTAGGTATACGGACTCATCCCCGTTAAAATGCAGCAATAAAAAGAAAAAGTTACCCCTGACTAAAACTTCACGCCCAATAGTGATAATCGTCGATTATTACTATCACCATTTATAAAGAAAAACCATGGACAAACTAAAATGGGACTTAGGGAAGCTTAAAACAGGCGCAGGGATAGAATATGAAATTGAAACAAATTAGGCATACAGTAAAACGAAAGGGTGACTTTGATGAACAAGGATAGGAAGACAATTAAATAATTACAAAGTAATGTCTGTTATCTTTGTGCAAAAAGGAACCAGCTCAGACCTCAGGGGGTAAAATACTAATGACTCCCTTTGTAAAAAATCTACAGCATGTTAAATAATCCAATGATAGATAAGACAACCACTATAGGATAATTGTTGTTTCGTGTTGGTTAATCAATTATTATAAAACCATTCTAATTATTATAAAATACAAACTCTTGAAACTAATTAAATTCCTTTTAAAACCATCATAATGAAGACATGCTGCAATCATATTTAGTTAAGCCAACGTAGTCCCCAGAGACGATCACGTGATCAGGGTGGCGAGGAAATATGACGCAGTGAAGGTTGGCTGCAAACATTACTCTATTAACCATGGATACACAGAGCTGTGAGGACCCGGAGATAACATAGCCTCAAGTAGACTTTTTTTTATGACAAACTATTGTCCTGAATGTCATAAAAAAAAGTCTACTTGAGGCTATGTTATCTCCGGGTCCTCACAGCCCTGTGCATCCATAGTTCAACAATTAAATGTTTGAAATTATAAAGTTGGAAGCATAATTCTAAATGACACCCTATAAGACATTTTTGTAAGTAGTTTCCATTGGCATAAATAATATGTAACAGAGCTATGCATTTTTAACTGTTGGCATGTTATTATTATGGAGGAGTGGACCCACCTTTCTGATGGACATTTGGTAATCTTACTACGTTGGCGATAAATCTGGTCGTATCTGATTAAAGGTCACTGTTGGTGTTCTCAGTTGGTTGTTCTTCGGTTCAAGTGGTTCCCAGGGTGATACGAAGCAGACAGATGATAAAGATGATGTTCCAAGAAAGTATTTGACGACCCAGACTGCTGCGACACTTCACTGAGTGTGCTACAGCTACCCCGGGCGTTGCTGGGGTGTTACTGACTGTCTCGCTCCAACTCAAGAGTCCAACCAGCCCCAGCCCTCTCGGCAGTCGGCACAGGCCGCCCCAGCCATGGCCGTGCGCACTCCCTCACGTCATTATTTCCTAGTGCCCGACTAGCCTGCCAAGCATTAAAGCTAACACCATAGCATGCACCACATTCCCACTACCACCGCTTTACACCAACACCACTATAGAAATAAACATACCACTATACCAAATGCTGTCACAACCATCAACCACATAAAAAACACACAATGCACCCAAGTAAATTGTATTACCTGGCCATATACCAAAATGCCGGATACAATACTTACAAAAATCGGGCGGAAAAAAAATTATATATATATATATATATATATATATATATATATATATATATATATATATATATATATATATATATATATATATATATATATATATATATATATATATATATATAATTGTAATAAAGTACCAGATATCCCACCGCCTACGTATATACCTGTACAAGAAAAGAAACAGGTACGTTGTAAGTTATTACAGGTCGGTTAGATCCTGTGTATTGTTTATAAAATTTTAGAGAGCAGTGCACTTCAGGTATATGTTCAAGTACAAAGATACCATGATGATAACGATAAGATGTACAGACACCAATTAAGTTTCAGGGGCTCTCACTCAACTGACACCTTCATTTTACTCACCATTCATTATATCAAATTCAAAATATGGGCAGAACGAGCTCAAACTTTGCTTTATAGTTTGGTATTAGTGTCAACTCCCAAATATTAGTCGCATTTTGAGATTTCGCCGGCATAATATAAGATAAAATACCAATAATAAAAATGCGCTCACCAGAGATTAGCAGGAAGCCCTAGAAAATAAACCTCTCACAACCAACACAACAACACCAACAGTTAAAACTAATTCAAACATTACATCATCACACAACTTCATACACAACATTACATAAAAAAAAACTCTAAAGACCCCACACTGCGTGGGAAAAATCTGAAATCAGAAAATGTGATATGAACATTCGACTGAGTAATATCCTCTGAGGTGCTTAAAAAAAATATTAAATCGCCCCTTCCCCGTTTATAGTATAAGCTAGGTAACTGGGGGCATTCTAATCTCTTTTGGCACCTGAGGTATTAAAGTGCAGGTACCATTCCGGAGGTCCTCTTTTAGACGCCCTCAATCAACTGACAATTTCTAACATATCTCGGGGACCACCAGAAGGGATGGCAGTACTTCAAACGGGGATGCACCTCACTTTTGAAGAGAGCTGAGGGACAGACCAGTTATGTGTATAAATAATCTTCGTGTAAGTTCTAGAAATTTATTCACTCGATTTACCTTCTTCTGACAATGGTTCAATAACTTTAGCTCTTGTCAACCTTCATTACAACACCATAAACACCCCACATTTAACTCGTACACAGTATCATAATTATCACTATTATTCTTAACCTAGAAGTCACCACCACAACATTATTAACACACCACAACCACTCTACATTCTCCACCCAGAATAACCACTATCCATAAACACATATTACCCCTAACGCCATTCTTCCAAGAACAGTTCAACATACAAAATCATCAACATCCTTCAACAACTGTCGCTCCACAGGTGATAGGAATAGTTGTCTCTTGTACTCTAGGATGGGCGGCACTAAGGCCACCTCGCAGCGAACTTACTTCAGGTGTAGAAGCTGTCACCAGAATAACAAGACAATCAAAGATGGCTTACCTTGACCCAGCTCATTTTACTCTTCGGTCACGTTTTTATTGACATGCCTTGATCCCAAATTTAAAGATTTTATCCAGAAGGTTCCGAGATATGATGATTAAAAAAATTGCACCTTTTTATTCATCATGACCTTGACCTTCAACCTATTAAAGTCGTATCTTTTATGTGGTGCCCCAAGGAGACTTTACTCGCATCATTTTTGCCAAAAAATCGTCAACTTTGACGCGATTTTCTGGAGAAACGCGACGTCATAAGACAACGCCATAGGCGCTGTCTGCTGTTGTGGAATGTAATGCATCGAGTTTCAGCCTTCTATGATTCATTTTTCGAAAATTATCGTATTTATATTTTTTTTAACTTTCGATGACAATGACTTTTAACCTAAACCTTAAAAAAAAGTTCAGTGCTTAATGTAAACACAATATGGCTCATCCAGTAATGCTAGGATTCCATATATGCGTTTGCGTTAAATTGCCTAGGAAAACAGACACCCCTGTTTCCATTTGCAGTTGCATATTCTGTCTTAGCGGGAACAGGACAGGAAAGATGGCTGCCAGTTCATCGAAGTTACGACGCTAATTATATGAACAGGATGATTTGCTATTAATTATCCTGGTTTTGTATAAGATCCTGCCGCATGCGTGATGCAAAGGGAACATAAATGATGGGTGCATAAATTGCTGCTGAATCGGCCCTTATGTGGAGCCTACAATACTTTGGTAAAAGAGCTAAGCTTGGTTGAAGAAAATGCAAAGAATATTTTGCTGGTTGAGGAGAGCACGTATATGAAACAGGAACTAGTGACGTCACAGTGTGGGATTCCCTCGTCCGTTTCCATGCGGTTGCATTTTCAATTGCTACAGGGACCGAGTGGAATGTACTGCAAACGCATAACGCTACCGTGCCAATGGCAACAACCGTGCACATTTCACTATGATCTACTTTTGGCGCTAATGCTACAGCTACCACGTGAATGGAATCCTAGCTTAAGGCTGTAGTAGACCGTGCAGCATGGTGAGCTGCCATCGGGTAATCACGGCTACACACACAAGCGTGGAAAATGGCCGTAAGACGATGATGATTACGATTGCGTTCAGTCAGGTTTGGTGCAGACATGGCTGAGGTTAGGTTAGGTTAGGTTATCAGCCTAAGGTAATTTACCAATAATGTTGTTCTAGTCATCAAATTTTGGACAGTCATATACTGTACCTTGTTTACAGAACTGTACATCTAACAGCAAGGTTGGAAAGCTGCTTTCTGGATTCATTTAGGCTGATCCTATAGAAACCCAGAAAGAATGGATATATTCATCATCATTCAAATATAGTGAGTTTTGTCAGACCAAACCAAGCCAGCAGAAAAAACATACATATCAGTAACTATGAGGGAGAGACAGAACTCAGAGGCAGACGGAGTCACACTCGTCACAAGTCGAGGTCGAGAGGGGGACTTCCCTTCCCAGCACCGAGTCCCCAGCTAGCAGAGTCCACCACCCGCCGGGATCACTCTCTTCAGCAGTACCAGCCCTACAGACAGAGTCCCCAGCTGCTAGGCCTCCCTCAGGTCACACGTGAGTCATTGTCAGGGCGATCCATAGAGTGAGTTACTTACGGTGGGAAGTGTATCCATTTCATGTTTGTGTCCAGGAGTCATTTTCTAGTAACGTCAATATAATGATTTATTAATGTGTTCATGCCATTCAATTAACTAATAAATAACTGTGCTTAAAAGTGTTGTTTAGAAGATTCCCCTAAGATCATATTAACGGTTAAATAACTAATCGGCGACGCTACCAAACTTCTTCACTTTACAATCCTACAACTGTAACTCTTACTTTACCTTCTACCCGAGTTTACCCTCATTACACAAAATACTACCAGGACTCCGACATCCAGTTACAGATATAAGACATATTATCAAGTCACACAGGCATGGTTAGGATTGTTACATTAGATACAGGTCTTCCTCTATTTTCATATGCACAATAGTCATGAGCTCGACTGGTCTTTAAAACCTCCCCAAATGCAACATGTTCGTAAATGTCTATTTCACCTTAAATATATTTCCAGTTTATACTACAGACGGGCAAGGGATGACCTAATTGAGGTGTATAAGCATCTCAAGGGGCACTAACTACTCAGTCGAGTGTCCTTACTTGGAGCTGGCGGACGCTCGCCCCACAAAAGTTCACAGCTCAGATTGAAGAAGCCGCAAGTCCAGAAAAATGTGAGGACAAACTTTTTCGGAGTGAGAGTTGTGAACTCTTGGAACAATCTACCAGAAAGTGTTGTGACGGCACCGAGTGTGAGCTCTTTCAAGACCAGATTTGACCAACACTGGAGCAGGTTCAGGTTCATTCAGGAGCCGGTGCATCCCCAGTACTTGCCAACAGTGCGTAACAGAGACGTGACCGATCGCCCAAGCGGCTAACGAGCCGATCAGTGGTGAAGAGGATAAAAGAAAAAGAAAAAGTAAATAATTTATTATTTAGATGAAGAGCTGTTTTTACCTTAATTTACCTTAATGTCTCAGGTGTGCTCTTGGTATTCATGATACTGTCACTAACGATTGGCCAATTTACACATTTGGTCACTCTAAATTCTGAACTTCAGTCATGTCACACTCCAGACCACATAAAAGAGAATGCGGACAGTAGGGTAAGCATACTGTAAATGAACATTGATCTTAAAGAATTGTGGAATCCTTCTGCTGTAAAAGTTGCACTCTGAAAAATGAACGAAACTTCAATATCTTAGATTAGAGCAATAACTTATATGCAATAATATAAGTACTATATAATATACGAAAAAAATATATATAATAACAACAACAAATAATAATAATAATAATAATAATTGTTATCGCCGCTGGCTTCAGCTACAGTGCTTGCGTGTGATGCCATTAAATCTTTCGACCTGTGTCCTCGCCAGATGTAGAAGTGTTTACAGACAAGTCCTGGTTCTGCTGAGTGGACTGTCTTAGACTGGTGGCGGTGGCTGCCCGCCCCTCCATGAGACAGATCGCCCTCTCTAGTGATGCTGTGAAGACCAGCCTTCTGTCCGAGAATTTGTGCTGGGACGATTTACACAATACTGTTTTCTCTTGGAACACCATACTGATCTGCATTGACCCGCACTTGTAAGTACAGCCTAAGTAATGACATACCCCTCGGTACTGAAATATTGTTGAATAATTACGCCTACTCGTTTCTGCCTAACCTGGAATAATTAGACAATGCAGAGTGAAGCGAAGCTAAGATTAATAGAGTTATGAACTTTGTGTTATGTCAGTATGTT